ATTTATAATTTTCATCACTTGATAGTGATTTTATAATATTGCCATTTTTAATTCAATTCCATCTAGTATTTGGAACTTGCCATGTTGTATAGACAGAGCTGCACATTTATCAATTCCAAATTTCATATTGTCATCATTATTATTATTCAAAAACATCAGGCACAGTCAATATAAAAACACTGACTGGTATTATATAACAGATATTTAACCGAAAGTATCCGTTAAATATCTGCGCACTATGTATGATGCTCATAATATTGCTCTTTTTTTTGGTAGTTCTGATGGTGTGATTTCTGAGATCTCAATTACTTATAGTACTGTGTTAAGTTTCTTGATATTGTTCACAAATCCCCAATGACTATAGGGACAACTCAAGTTTGTTTCTTCCAGATGCGAGATGTTTCGATTGCCAGGTCTCTGTACTTTGTTAGTTTTTCCAATTCTTTATTTTCAACTCTGCCATGCCCCGGAATTGCAATTTCAATGATCCAGACATTTCTTCATTCTATTACTACTATGTCTGGTGTGTTATCGTATCATCATAGTCTAAATATTATTACTATTATTATTATTGCTGCTGCTGCATAAAGTGAAACCACTTCTGACTTATGGAGACCCTTTTCAGGGTTTTCCAGGTAGAGAATACTCAGAAGTAGTTTACCATTCCTTTCTGAGAATGCCCTGGGACTGTGCAGCTTGCCCAAGGCCACACAGGCTGGCTCTCATTCCAGTAAGCACAGGGAGGAATAGAACTCCCAGTCTCTGGCTCTGCAGCTAAAGACCTAAACCCTGAGCTATCTAGGTAGCAATAACATAATAAATTTTTGTATTATTGTTGTTGTTGTCATTATTATCATTATCATTATCATTATCATTATTATTATTAATTAGTAGTAGTAGTAGTAGTAGCATCAGCAGCAGCAGCAGTAATAGTAATTGCATTTTGTTGTACCGTATAACCCCCATTGACAAAGCTGGATAGCTTTTGGCATTATCAAAGGCTTAGTCCTTTTGAAAAAGATGAAGCAAGACTGAAATCCAATTGATGTGAGCAAGAGCATTCTGATCACACATGTGAACAACTTAGGAGTGAACAAAGGCTGAGATCCCTTACCTGCCGATTGAGCCGAATGGAGAGGATATTGCTAGAATAACTGTAGTTACAGATTTCTGTCCCTTTCTTGAAATGGTAAACATTCATTTGCCGTGGCTTTGTGTGACTCACCACCACTACCAGGCTGCTAGAGAAGAGGCGCTCTACAATGTAAACATCTGGGATTTCATCTGGAGTGGAAAATAAAAGAGAAAGAATGGATATATATTCATGGTGTCTTGCCATCTGTATCAGAATGTTTTGCCATCTGTATCATCTGTATCAGAATGAATGCTTATATATATATATATAGAACATCAAATTCTATGATGTGAAGCTAATCTTTTGGAAAAATGCAATATAATTGATGATTCAGTGTTTTGCAATCTGTATGAGAATGAATGCTTTTATATATATGCTACTTTAGGGGGACAGGGTGCATATCAAGTTCTAAAGGTGCTTTTGTTCCTCTTAGTCAGGGAAAACACAGCTCCCCCCTCCCAAAAAAAAGGGGGAGGGAGGGAAGTTCCAGTACATACTGTTAGCTGATAAAACGAGGCAGGGTGACAGAGGCTTCTGTGGAATGAAAGGAAACCAAATGGGTTTCCAGAAGGAAGGGACAGAATGTGCACCATCTATCACTTTTCTGTCTGACAGCCTCTGTTGGAAGGGATGACCTGGTCTTCCTGTCAGAAGGCTTAAGCCAGAGCTAGAGAAAAGAGGAAATGTCCAGGTCAGTTTACACAGCAGGCACTCAATGATAAATTCTTCTCTTTGGCCCCGATCCCAGCATTTGCTTGCACCTAAGCTATCGTCTTTAACAGCTGCTCCCAACGTAGCTCATTTACATGAGTCCAAAATGGCTTTTTACAACCCCCCAGCAGAGGGATTGGATTTCAAAACTGTTTTTGTGTCCATCTGCTAACTCAGGAGTTGTAGGCTAGGGAGCAGCATGAGGGGCTTTTAATATGCAAATAAATCCCTTGTACATTCAGACTTGGAACAATGGGGTCCTGGCCAATGACCCAGCTGTAATTGCCTTGGCTTTTCTGAAGTGATGAAGTCTGTTGTCTGGATCAATTAATAAAAAGTTTAAAGTATTTGAAACAGGAGTTTCCTATGAAGGGACAGCACAAAAGAGAGGTCCACTGATAAAAAAAAATGTATTTTTCTTTCCAGCCACATGTCTGTCTGTTCTATCCTTTTCAGGTTTAGTTTCAGCTTCAAAATTACCATCATCTGCAAGACTGGCCTCTGCAGATAGCTCCTACTGGCTACTTCTGTTGGAAGTCAGACAATATGCCCTCAGCAACAACGAAGAGTAGTTTTCTTAAGGAGGCCATTTAAGTCTCCTTTGAAAGTTGCTAAAAATTAACTGCACCCTCAATGCTTAAGTGGGAATCATCATCATCATCATCTTAGAACTGCAAAGCTGGAACAGACCCTATGGATTGAGTCCAACCCCTGTCAAGGATACACAGTGGGGAATCAAACTCTCAACTTCCAGCTCTGTAACTAAGCTACAATATCTGCCTAAGTCATGTATGGACCACAGCACTTTTAACAGGTCCCAGAATACAACTTGAAGCTGCATTTCACAACTAGGGTTAATATTTTAAACTATTTCAGATCTGTCTTGGCCTCCACTGAAATCTCAACAGTTTGATTCAGATGCAAAACTAAGCAACAGTATGACATAATGAAAACAAACTGAGGAAAGCTTTGGATTCATGTGTTCTTCAACTCCTCCTCTTCTAATGCAGCATTCACCCAGATTTTACATTAAGTACAGCTTGCCATGTTGTCTGAGCTTTGAAAAACTGGTTTATTTCAACTATGGTTACTAGAAACAAACTAACTTTAATGCACTGTTTAATAAACTTGCTTGTTTCAACTAACTACAGTGGTGCCCCGCATGACGACGACCCCATTAAACGATGAATCTGCTGGACGATGACTTTTTTGCAATTGCTATAGCAATCGCAAAACGATGTTTCCTACGGGGATTTTCATTTGATGACGATGAGGTCCGTGGTTCATGAACCGTTTGTTCGCAAGACGACAATTTTTCTGGCTCCGCAAAATGGCTGTCTTGTGTTTTCCAGACCCATGCTTCACAGGGCAGCAATTTTAACAGCTGATCGGCGCTCGGAAAATGGATTCCCTATGGGCGATCTTTGCTGGACGACAAGGTAATTTCTCCATTGGAACGCATTAAACCGGGTTTCAATGCATTCCAATGGGGAAACTGTTTTCGCTGGACAATGTTTTCGCTTAACAGCGATTTCAGGGGAACGAATTATTGTCGTGGTGCGGGGCACCACTGTATAGTTAAGCACAGTTTAATGCTTAAATGATATACTAACTAAACTATTGTAAATCAAAAGCAGAATAAATGTCCATTATCCTCAAAATGGTTGCACCAGAGGCTTGTTCCTAGAGCACATTATCAATGCATCCAAACACAGCCATTACAAATGCTAACAATACAAGTCTCTGCATGCAGTATATACACTAATTTCATTCACAGTATACCACACTGACATAGGTAAAGCTAAAGGTGTCCCTTGACATTTAGTCCAGTCATGTCAGACTCTAGGGCATGGTGCTCATCCCCGTCTCCAAGCCATAGAGCCAGCGTTTGTCCGTAGACAGTTTAAATGTCACATGGCTAGTGTGACTTAGATACAGAACACTGTTATCTTCCTACCATAGTGGTACCCATTTATCTACTCGCATTTGCATGCTTTTCAACTGCTAGGTTGGCAGGAGCTGTGACAAGTGACGGGAGCTCACTCCTTCATGTGGATTTAATCTTACAACTGCTGGTCTTCTGACCCTGCAGCACAGAGGCATCTGTCAAACAATCCGCAGTGCCACCATGAACCGCGTGGTGACCCACACTGACATATTTGAGTGTATATACATAAAACTAGGCTACAATCTTGCAAATACTAGAAATACATATCCTTTTATAGGAAAAAGGAATAATGGCTGAAAAGGACAAAAAAGTGTTAAGTACAGCAAAGGGAAGGGCAAGTAGAATTTCAACAATGGTGTAGAAGGCAAAGTAGAATGGATGAACTATGGGACACCACAAATTGGCAGCTCAGGCTATTCTGGACTAAATAATTGCAATTTAGTTCAGAATAGACTGGTCTAGATGGGCAGGGTACAAACAAACAAACAAACAAACAAAGTTGCAACATACAGTGGTGCCTCGCATAGCGATGTTAATCCATGCAGCAAAAATCGCTGCTAAGCGATTTCGTCGCTATGCGATTTTAAAAAGCCCATAGAAACGCATTAAAACCTGATTAATGTTCCTATGGGCCTAAAACTCACCTTAAAGCAAAGATCCTCCATACGACGGCCATTTTTGCTGCCTCTTAAGCGAGGACCCCGTCCCTAAACACAGCGGGCGGCCATTTTTTTTACCCGACGGCCATTTTGGAACCGTCGATCAGCTGTTTTAAAATCGTCGCTTTGCGATGATCGGTAAGCGAAACAGGGACCCGATCATCGCAAAGCAAAAAAAAAAAACATTTAAAACTTTGCAATGCGACCGCTTTTGCGATGGCAAAATCTTCATTGCTATGCAGTTTTGTTGCTAAACGGAGCGCCCGTTAAGCAAGGCACCACTGTATTACCTAAGGGCATAGTCAACACAGGTTTAAATCACATTAGGTATATTAAAACCACATAAAGGTATATATTTGGTTGCTACACTGCATGAAAACAGGAGAATCATGCAACTTCTTTGAAGTCTGTGTTAAGAAGTCTTCAAAATGAAATGTTATTGACTATCACTGCAATATGTGAAGCATGTCATGGAAACAGAAAACCCATTGTGTATTGATTCCTTCTTTCTGCCAGAAACTGTAATTCTGGTTCAGTCATTTCTAAAAGATGGTTGTTGTAGGTTTTTCAGGCTGTTTGGCTGTGTTCTGAAGGTTTTTCTTCCTAACGTTTCACCAGTCTCTGTGGCCAGCATCTTCAGAGGACAGGAGTCAGAACTCTGTGCTCTGGTGCAGTTTGTGGGATAGTTGAGAATACTCAACTATGAATACTCAACTATCGAGAGTACTCAGCCTTCGAGAATACATTTCTAAAAGTTCAGTACTGAAAAAAATCTTCTCTGTATTTGTCACAAGACTATGAGTTCTTCAAAAAGAAAAGAATTCTGTGGCATACAAAGCCAAAGCCATTAGCAGAAGGTCAGCATATAGTAGATCTGGAAGCACAACAGGATTACAGTGGTGCCTCGCTAGACAATGATAATCCGTTCCACTGAAATCACTGTTTAGCAAAATCATTGTCTAGCAAAAAGCATTTCCCCATTAGAATGCATTGAAACCTGTTTAATGCGTTCCAATGGGGAAGAATCGTCGTTGTCTAGCAAAGATCGGTCACAGGAAAGCCGCTTTGCAAACTGCTGATCAGCTGTTTAAATCGCTGTCTTGCGAAGCTTAGGTCCTGAAAACACCTGTTTTGCGAGCGCGGAGGAAGCTGTCAAAATCGTCATCTAGCGAAAATCAGTTTGTGAAGCAGGGACCAAACATTGTTCAGCGAAATTCCCCTAGGAATCACTGTTTTGCGAATCGCTATAGCGATTGCAAAAAGTCAATGTCTAGCGAAAAAACTGTCATGTGGGGTAACTGTCTAGCAAGGCACCACCGTATTATGTTGCTAGTACTGCTACCCATTATGGCTTCCTGGAAATCCTGAGCCTTGGAAAGGAGAGATTAAGCAAGGGTATGTGGATCTTTCTGAAATATAAAGCAGCACAGACCTAATCCAGTGAGTGATCAGAATGATCAATCCTTATCCCACTAAATGACCAAAGAACCACAAAAGGAAGGCTACTAAAGATAGGCTGTGAAATGACAAGAATGAGCTACAGAATGTTAAATCTGAGTTAAATATAAAGAGCATGTCCTCCTCTAAGCTCCACAGCATTTGAGGAAACCTCATAAGATTGTAACATTTGCATCTTGGAAGATTTTCAAAGAAATAATGTTTTCTCTAATAAGAGCCTGGATTGATTAATTAAAAGTTCTAAAGCATTTGCAACTGGAGTTTCCTATGAAGGGATTACACAAAAGCAAGGCCGACTAATAAAAAATTATTTTTCTTTGCAGCCTGTTCTATTCTTTCAGCTTTACCATCCTCTGCAGGATTTCATTCCTTACTACTCTGTGATAACAATGGTACTGTATAATTATACACCAAATGCAAGAATATATTATCTGTACTACAAAGAATATTGCAAAGACTTTAGTTCACCAGTTAAATCAGGTAGGGAAAACCTGTTGAAAAGTTACTAGGATCATTACATTGTCTATTACACACCCAGTTGGCAGATTAATTCATTTCTGCTGCTTACAGAACAGCTCTGAATGCTTCAAAAGAAGAGGATGTATCTGATCATTTGCTCTTTCTTGCATTCTGTGACACACCAAAATATTTGTGTGTGTGGAGTGGAATAATGCTTATGAGGGAATTCCTAAGACAGGCTCCTGGAATCAACACCTGCAATTTCACCCAAGTTAGTCACACTACAGTTAGTAATCACAGTTCTTCTGGGTTTGGACAACAACTAAAATCTAAATACTGTAATCAAAAATTGAACCTTTCAATCTCCTTATTGTTATGATAGAGATGAGCAGGAGAAAGGTCACTGCTTTAAATATGAATATTTCTCAGCCTGCCCCTTCTCCCTTCTCAGACTTACATTAATGCACCACTGCACTTTCGTAGTACTTATCATACCTATTTGTTTTAATAGTAATTCTGACATATTTAGAAAACTTTGATTGAACTACTACAGTTACTGAAAATCAACTTACTCCAGTTCATTGATGAGTGACACTGAACTGTTCCTGAAAACAAGCTCAGCTTTCTGATTACAGTGCCATCAAGAAGGGCATTTGCAACAGTGCTTTAATTTCCATTATTTTTATATGCAGCTGTCTCTTTAACACAGTGGCATTTTCAGGAGTCTGAATAACAACAAGGCAAAAGCCAAGAGATACCATCTGCCTTCTAGTAGGGAAGATAAAATGGAACTGCTCTTTTGTGGCAGATTAAAACATGTTGTAATGCAGAATAAAGGCTGCCATCAAATAATAATAATAATATCAAAACAGAACAGACTTACTGCTTTCATGTACTTGATCCAGCTGCTCCACAGAACTCAAGGAAAACAGTCTGTATCCAGTTTTGGTTCCAATGGCCAAAGATCTACAGGACAGAATGCAGACATTACTGGTGTGCAGAGTCAAACATATTCCCCACCAAATTCTAATCAAGGATTTGGAAACAATGAACTTGCAATGAGAAAGACACTAGCGTCAGCTCCAAGGACACAGCAGAACTCACCCCTGGTGCCTCCCTGATGAAATAAGAGGTTATGGCTTTAGCAGATCCAAGGCCATTCTGGCTCTACTCTCCGTACTCTCCTGATTTGAGGCCTTATGTAAGCAGCAGTTTTATCCCCTACAGCATTTTTATGGGTGCAAATGGGACATGCTTCTCTCAGTCACCACAGTGGCATCATTTCACATCCATCTTACATCTAAGAGGTTATGACTTTATCTGTCCAGAATCAAACTGAAGGATGCTTTGCTCAAGAATCCATATTTATTTTTATTCTACCCTTTCATCCATATAATTCAAGGCAGCATATATAGAATTCTCAAATATATCAAGTTCCTGGAGAGTGCCCACCCAGACCAGAAAGTAACCTGCTTGCCAAGACCTATACGTATTCTGTCTCATGTGCCATCACACCACAACCTCAGCCTTATAGGGTACCCATTCCTGTGACTAATGACAAAAGCAATTTGAGAATACTCCGCAGGGAAAGACTGATAGCTTGTTTCACCAAATGGACATTGACAGGTACAAACCATGACATTCATTGCTGCCTTGCCTGATCTTACAAGTCATACAGTTTGAAGTTCAGTTGGACAACTACTGTACCTTAAAATATCCTAAGATATAAATCAAAGGTTAGACATTTGCAGAGAATGTGAAAGCAGTCATCAATCTGCTACCAAATCTCTTCATTATTCAGATGCTCCTTACGCAACTGCACCACACAGTCACAGCTAAACAGCGAGCAAACTCTGCACACTGCCTGCCACACCTGTCAGAAGCACTGACATTTCCTGCCCATACCCTTCGTGACTGACTGAGGTCATGAATGAGAAGATAATAAGGAGACTGAAGACAAGTGCCTTAGCGAAATGTATCTTAGGTTACAATATACTGCAGCTACTGGCCTAGGAGTGACCCTCAATAACATATAATGGAAGGTACCCAGAAAAAAATGGAAAGGGTTGCCATTAGCCACAATCAGCTTGATGGTAGTTATCACTGGGTAAAATTGGGACAGTGTACCTTTTCGACAGCATAACCCAGATTGGACACTGGAAACGTTTAATTTCAACTCATGGCAAAATTTCCTCTCTTCATTTTCAGGTTCTGTGGCTCCACAGGGCTGCTTTTTGCTCTGGGGAAGCCTTTGAGAGCCTCAAGAAGTGGGAAAAAGAGCCTTTAGCAAAAAATTGCCACTTGCAGTCTTGGTGTTTTTTTTTTAAAACACTATTACAGGCTTGCCCAGCAATATTATTTTCTGGGTGAACAGCTATCACAATAACAGACAGGTTATCCTATAGTAAAAGGTATACAGTGGTGCCTCAACTTAAGAACTTAATTGGTTCTGGAAGATGCGCGTAAGTCGAAATGGTGGTAAGTCGAAGCACCATTTACCATTGAAATGCACTGAAATGCAATTAATCAGTTCCGGCCAAAGAAAAAAAATACCCCCCCAAAGAAATCACTGCAAGATTCATTGGAAATGCAACTAATCCCTTCCGGCTGAAGAGGGAGGGGAAGAAAACCAATCAAGCATGCCAGACTCATCGGAAATGCACAGAAAACAAACGGAGCAGATCGGAAATGCACAGAGAACAAAGGGACCCAGGTCAGAAATGCAGAGAACAAAAGGATCAGATTGGAAATGCAAAGAGAAGAAAGGAAAAAGCAAGGGAAGCATGCAACTGCTAGGTGAAAGAGCTACAAAGAAGCAACCTCATTGCCACCTACAATTAGAAATTTTGATTTCATGCCTTTTTCCCCTGCCTTTTTCTGTTCATAAGTGGAAGGTCGGTTGCAAGTAGAAGCAAAATTTTGCGGCCGGAGCTGGTCGTAACTCAAAATCGTTGTAAGTAGGGACATTCGTAAGTTGAGGCACCCTGTGTACAAAACCACACTGCAAAAACACCCAGAACAGTTTTCAAAAAGCAGAAAGCAGCACCTTACCTTACCAGGCAGCCTTCTCTGATCGCACACTCTCTAACGGCTGGGGCGAAAGAGCTACAAAGAAGCAGCCTCGTCACCACCTACAGTTAGAAATCTGAATTTCCCGCCTTTTTCCCCTGCCTTTTTCTGTTTGGAAGCTCCAGCCGCAAGTTGAAGCAAAATTTTGCAGCTGGAGCTAGTCGTAACTCGAAATGGTCATAAGTAGGGACGTTCGTAAGTCGAGGCACCACTGTATGATAAAAAAAGAAGTTCCTCTATGTCAAGGAAATATTCTTTTCCTTAGCTGCCTAATGTATCTACCGTTTTCTTTCTAAATGACTGAGACATTATATATTGGCTGAAATCCAGTTCGTGCAACTCCACCAGGAAGAAACAGTAATTACATCCACACCTGGTAACATTTATTTTTATCTCATTTTAATTTAAAACTTCTTATCTACCCCCTTCAAATTCCAAAGCTTCCCAGGGATCCCTTTTGCCATAGGGAAGACTCTGGGAGTCTCAGAATAATGGGCAGTGTGGATAAAAATCAGTGACTTTTGTAAAAATTTAATTGATTTAAATCATGAATTTAAATTTAAAAATTCTCTTTTTTAATTTAAATCCTCAAAAATCATTTTTTAAAGTTAGAATCATGATTTAAATAAAACTGATTTAAATAATCCTGATTTTGGGAAGCTTTTAATACTGGGAAATCATCACCAGATCACTGCAGCAGGACAACCAACACTGCTTTTCCAATATTAAGAGCTTCTCCCTGATCCCAGGGCTCCCAAAGTCTTACCCATGTCAAAGGGGCTTCCTGGAGAGCTTCAGAATTTGAAGTTGGGGAAGTTTTAAATTAAAATAAATATTAACATTGTAGGTGATGGCATCATCACCATTTATGTGGTGGAGTTGCATCAACTGGATGTCATCATTTCCCCCTGTATTTCTCCATCTGCATATTTTATCTTTCATTATCTTGCACACACATATATGTACCTCATTAACTGACATTTGGCATAATCTAGCAAGTCTCTGTTTTTTCATCCATCCATCCCCAAATGACATATACAATATGCATTGACCACTCCAGTCCCAAGCCCATTCATTCAAGAGACAGAAATGTCAGAAAAGGTGAACATAGCTTCCCCTGGCCTTCTTAAAACAAATTTGTCTTTTGCCAGTAAATGAGGATGCAATTTGTAATACATCAACAATCTACATGTCAGACGTATTTCCTCTGAGAGACAAACGTCATACAGTAGTTATTCAGATGTTTGCAATGTACCAAACTCCTAACTATAAACTGGATATATATTCAGTTTACATCCAGTTATACAGTTAGGTATATATATAGAGAGAGAGATGCAAACCCGTAAAGCAGGAAACACAACACATGATGGAACTAAACACAGCAAAGACTTTTAAATGTCATGGAGCACATCCTGATAGAATGGCATGACTAGGCAGGCTGCCAAATGCTAACAGCAATGGCTGTGTTGTGAAAGATACAGTTGTGGGTAGGGCCAAGAACTAGCTGGAGTATAATTTATTGGTTTACAGTTTTACTCCACAATCCACCTTTTATAACTTTCCCCAAGGGATGAACACAACCCACTCCAGCTTCCCCATCACCTCAGTTCCACCAGTCAAGTTTTGTAATGGAGCCATTTATTGTTGTGGAAAGCAACGTGGATTTTTTAAAAATCAAATTGATTCAAATAATGATTTAAAATTTAAAAATGACTTTTGCAATTTAAATTGTCAAAAAAGTGCTAATTTTTATTGAAATCAATTAGATTTTTTAATTAACCTTTATTTGATTTTATTTGATTTAAAACAAACTCATCTACCAAGGAACGATCTAAACTGTAGAAACACCATGGACAGCTCTAGAATTATATGATTAGTCGGTGCCATCTATTTTTAGGGTTATTGTTGTTGCTTTTAATGTTTCCATCTTTATTTTTGTTTTCTATTATATTTGTTGTAACCACGCAGAGTTGTGCCTCAACACTAATGGGAGTGGAATAGAAAAGAGAGAGACCATACCATTTAACACTGCGCATGGAAAATTATCTAAATGTTTCTTATCATACAAAACACCTTGCCTGAAGAAAGACAGCATGCAGAGGAATACAATTCTAGACTAGTTTTCTCACTAGCTACTGTCGGAAATAGAGGAAGGTCTTCTATTTAGGGACATCCAAACACACTATCTTTCATTTATAGTTTAAAGTGGCACAGCCCAGAAGGCACAGTACACTATGAAGTATTCCCAAATATAACCCCGCTCTGAATGTTCAATTGGTATGAAGTGCTATAGAGCTTTGGGACTCTTATCAGTAAAAGGTCCTTAGCATTTTATGAACTGAAACAACGGTGACTTCCATGTCCATAATAGAAATCTCTTTTGCCTTTAACCACATAACTTATGTGGCAGATCAGAGATATTCTGATTGTCACTCGAAATTTGAGAGCAGCACATTCTGGAGAAGGGCTTGGCTGGATAGCTCAGTGGTTTACGTATCTGGATGCAGAGCCAGAAAATGGGAGTTCTATTCCTCACTGTGCTTCCTGGGATGAGAGATAGCCTGTGTGGCCTTGAGGGGCAAACTGCACAGTCCCAGGGCAC